TTCCCAGGGATCACTTAATTGATCAATTATACCAAGAGATCAGTGGGCTGAAGGCACAGCTGGACAACATGAAGACTGAGGTATGAGCGGGCTCTGATCGGCTTTTCTGGGCTTTACCATAACAGGACAGATTATAATATTAAATTTGCTTCACAGAGATACTTATTGGACAACATATTAAGGGGAGTTAATTAGTAGAAATGCCAAAGCCAGAGGGACCTGGTCTTCCCGTGGTCTCGATTGTAGTGCATTTCCATTGTAGTTGCTTTGAGAATAGCACTGAGGCCAAGCTCCCGTGTCCCTGTGATAATGTCCCTCGGAGATAACCACGATCACCAATTGGCTTGAAGCTGTGATGAGAAAGACCCATTCTCACATGGCAGTAAGGAGGTTTGATTTGTAGTTCTGATGGCTGTTTGCAGCGTATGGTGCTATAAATATTCCTGCCCCTCAAACGCAGGCCTGGTCAGAAGCTTTACTCACTGGGACAGGCGAACATCCTCCCCTTTCAGATTCCAGCTAGTTCATCGCTGCTCCCAGGTCATTCTGACAGGACTAGAACATTCCTGCCATCATCCCCTATTGTTGCTGGCTGGGTGTTATAATGACCAGAAGGCTTAACTCTCATGAGGCTGCAGGAGTGGCCTTGTTAGGAAAACCTAAGTGTTTATTTGGTCTGTGCTGGAAACATATTAATACCTGCTTCTCCGCCCAGCACCCCCGACCCTGGCAGTACGGTCATCAGCTGCTTTACCTAAATCTCTCCTGCAGAGCCAGCCAGCCGTGCTGCAGCTGAAGGGCCACATCAGCGAGCTGGAGGCCGAGCTGGCTGAGCAGCGGCACCTGCAGCAGCAGGCAGCCGATGACAGTGAGTTCCTTCGGGCAGAATTGGATGAGCTGAAGAAGAAGCGAGAGGACACGGAGAAGGCACAGCGGAGCCTGACAGAGATAGAAAGTGAGAGGTTGTGGGGGGTGTGAGGGTGGGGGTCAGGGAGATCAGGAGGAAGGAGGAGGCTGGGTGGCAGAGCCTCAACCTCGCATCTGTCTAGAGGAGCTCTCAGGAATGCAAGCTCTTGTCACCAGCCTGTGGGCAGCTGGGAGTCCAGCAGGCAGAGCACCCGTGTGAGGCGCTGCTAAGAACACGGTGATGGGCCTCAGAGGTGATGAGGGTCGCCTGCTCTGGGGGAGTGGATCACCACTGAAAGAGAGAGAGCCCAAGAAATAATTTGACTAAATGCTGTGTGTGTAAAAATGCTCAGGAGGCATGAATCACTTCAGTGATTTAAGTCAAGTAAATTCTTTTTAAAGAAACTTCCCCAAGGAGTTTAAGTAGGATTTTTGAGGAAGAAAGGAGGGTTTTCTAGGGGCTCTGGCTTATGGGATGAGGGGTAGCGGGTCCCAGCCAGGTAGACTCCTCACCTTGGTCCTTGATCATACAGGGAAAGCGCAGGCCAATGAGCAGCGGTACAGCAAGCTGAAGGAGAAGTACAGTGAGCTGGTACAGAACCATGCTGACCTGCTGCGGAAGGTAGGTCCCTTGACCTCTCTCTCGTCATGCTCAGGCCCCACACCACACGGGGGAGAGCAGCTCAGGCCTCGTGGCTTCTCCAGGTCCATTGCCTCCTCCAGTCTCTAGTGGGTCAGCTCCATTTCTTGGGAACCTCAGCTTTTCAGGCTCTCTTGCTTCCTATATTTTGAGCTCCACCTTCAACGCCAGCTCCACTTGCATTATCTCCCATCTTTATTATTTTTGTAAATGCTTGAGAGTCACGTGTCTACAGATGACAGCCTTCTTCTGGTTTCCCTCTGGGTAGGAAAATGATTTCTGTATCCGACTCTAGGGCACTCACGGTCTAAATGCTGTCATTTGTTCTAGAAGGAAGATGTCCTTTAAGCCTGAGATAAGCCACTTCAAGACACTTTTCTTCTCTTACAGAATGCAGAGATAACCAAACAAGTATCTGTGGCCAGACAAGCCCAGGTGGATTTGGAACAAGAGAAAAGAGAGCTAGAGGATTCCTTCCAGCGCATAAGTGAGCAGGCCCAGCGGAAGGTGAGCGGAAGGGAGCCATATGGGGGAAAAAGACTGAGCGATCTCTCCAAGTTGGAGGCGGGCCTTGATTGAAAGACCTTGTCTTCTGCTTCACGGGCAGCTCTGTGTGTTGGAGCCCTGTGAGGGTGCTATGAGAGGCCATATAGAACAGGACACGGTTACCAATGCATAAAGGGTTAAAAGTGATGCAGAGACCCAGGCCGAGTGAGGTTCATCAGCAAAGGCTTTCCTGGGGCGAGTCTTGAGAGTATGAAGAAGTGAAAGCACATGGATATCAGAGAGAGGACCAGTTGTTTATAAGGATTTGCAGCCAGGGGAACACCCATGACTTGGGGTGGCGTTAGCAAGCAGGTCAGGTTGGAGTAAGAGATGTCAATGGATAAAACTGAATGCCTTTACACTTGGAGTAGCAGCTTTCACACTTTCTGTGACCCAGAGAAAAAAATACATCTGTCTAATGGAAATAAGTTTCACAGGGCAGTACTTAACCTTACCATGTGAAGACATTTGGTTATTCTTTTGCTTGTGAGTTTGTACTAATGGGTCACAGCCCACCCTTTGAAAAACCATTTAGAAAAGAAATCAAAGAAGAGGAGTTGTTTCTAGATGGTGAGACGCAGCAGTGTACCAGGTGTTGGGATGCCTGAATTAAAGATCCAGTTCTACTTTAATGAGTATTGAGCTTAAGTGTAACATTCAGGAAATGTTCCTAAAATTTCCCCCTTGACATTCCACTTACCCAGAAGAAAAATTTCTGGTACTCTCTGAGTTCTTAACCTCCTCCTCTGGCCACCTTTTGGCTGAGGTAAAACTTGCATACAAAAGAGTACACATCGCATTGATAGCTTGGGGATTTTTTTACATGTTTATCCCTTGTAACCATCAACCAGATCAGGGTGCACCTGTTTTTCTTTTTCAGACTCAAGAACAGACGGAAGTACTAGAGAACTTGAAGCAAGAACTTGCCACCAGCAAACAGGAACTCCAGATTGTCCAAGGCAGCCTAGAAACTTCTGCCTTGGTGAGCACCATCTCCTTTCTTTCCCTTCCTTATTCTTCTCCCCTCTGGCTTTCATATTGCTGTCACCGAGCCTCTGTCATCATCCAGCATATAGCCAACCTGGTCCCATCTGTAATCAGTATGTACTCAGGAATGAAAATGGGAAGTTAAAGAAGTTATCACCTTCTTTCTGTTCCTTGTGGTGGGTTTGGACCTCTGGGAAGGGGACAGTTTAATTCCTCCCAGCAACTCCCTGTTTTCAACGGTCGTCATTGCAGGCAGAAGTAAAATGGGCAACCCAGATTGCCAACCTGGAGAAAGAACGGGGCAGCTTAGTGAATGCCATGGCTCGGCGGGAGGAAGAATTCTCTGCTCTTCAGGAACAGCTGGAATCCACCCAGCTCAAACTGTCTAGCACACAGGCAAGTAACAGACACCCACTTGGGCTGACCAAGTCTCTCTGACCTCCTACTCCTGGGCCTCAGTGGTGTATTCATGGAGGCCAGGGCCTATGAAAGGGGTTTGGGGCCTCCAGTCTGATTATGAAGGCATTCTGTAGCACAGCTCCTAATGCCAGCATGTCTTGAGTCACACACACAGCAGATAAGGGAAAGCAAAGCTTTCTCTTTTTCATATGAAAAAGGGCTGCACTTAACTTTCTCTCCCTAAGGTTGGAGAATGAGTTGTGGTGGTTCATCCCCACAGCCTCCTGTGCTCAGTGGCACACATCTGTGAACAAAACAACAACTTGAGCTAAGATGCCAGGCATACACGCTCTTTCACAGGTTTTTTTGTGGATTCTGCTTAAAGGCTGCTGTGGAGTCTGTGGCAGACTCTCATCTCCCTGGACCATTTCTAGGAATCTGCGTGCCAGCTCGCAAAGGACCAACGAAAAATGCTTCTGGTAGAGTCGAGGAAGGCTGCGGAGCAGGTGATACAAGAGGCCCTGAGGCAGTTTGAGGAGCCCACTCTCATCAGCTGTGCTGGATCTGCAGGTACTCTTCTTCCCAGCTTGCAGGTGCCAAATCCATATAGCTTGATGCTACCTGTTGGCATTAAACCCCATGGGACACTGAGCTCAGGGGTTCTCAGCCCAGCTGCATGTCAGAATCACCTGGGAAGCCTGGGCCCCACCGAGAGATCAGTTCAATTGGAAGTTCAATTGGAAGTTCTTTGGCATAGGACCTGGGCAGTAATATTTTCTAAAGCCCCCAGGTGTGATAACTACTGCTTTAGTCATGGATCATACTGATGAAGTGCCCACTGGGAGCAGAGCCTTGATACCAATTCTAAAGGCCAGTAAGAAGAGGAACAGATAGTCCTGTGTCTCTCTAAGGAGAAAAATGTGGTCTGAATCAAGGGATAGTTAGTTGCTCATGAGCTTCAAGTCTAGATGGGGAGGCGGCATATAGCATGGAGGGGCAGAAATAATAAAAATCCCCGCATAGTCACAGGTATGAACAGGGACCAACTTGGCACATACCAGAATCCCAAGGGCATGTGAGTAGAGCAGCGATCCAAGTCAGAGCAGCTCTCTAGATGAGAGGAGGGAGCTTTTGTGCACAGTACGTGGGAGATCATCCAGGCCTAGGATTTGTGAAGTCACAGATGTAGCAATGATCAGATCTCATTACAGTTCATTCTCAAGCAGAGGAGACACCTTGGCAAAGTAACGAGGCTCAATTGAAGGACAAGGCAGACAGGAAGAAACAGCTGACAGTTAATTTTTATTATCAGATAGAAAAGTCTCAGTGTGGCGATGTATGTAGTAAAAACTATATCTTTTTCAGCGGGGAACCTGTAAGGAATCTGTAAGGGAACCTGTTGTGTTTTTGTAAGGGAATACAACAGTTACAAATGAACGAGCACACTGGGTACCTGATGTACTAAGGAATGCCAGAAAATGGGGCCGCTGTGGGTGGCTTCTGAGAAGGACCAGATAGACTCAGAAGCACTGCTTTGAAGCTACAAAAAGAGAATCACATATCTGGGTAACCAATGCTCTTTCCTCCTTTCCCCTATCTTAAGGCAGCTCTTGCAGGGCTGGGGCCACTCACTAAGTAGGCTCATCCATCAAGTGGCTTAACTAACAGGGATGAAGCGAGCTATGACAACTCTGGCTTTGACTTTGCTCTGTCTTTCCTCTCACAGATCACCTTCTCTCCACGGTCAAGTCTGTTTCCAACTGCATTGAGCAACTAGAAAAATGCTGGAGCCGGTATCTGGCCTGCCCAGAAGGTAAGAAAAGCAAAGGATAGGGTGTGTCGCCAGTGACGGCTAGGCAGGGTTCAGAAGTGCTTGAATGTGGAAATGACAGATTCCTGTGCACCAAGAAAGGAATTTGTACCACTCGTAATGCCTGGAGGGAGGAGGTATGAAAGTGATACTCCCTCAAGCAGGACCAAAAAACTTTCCTTTAAACTCTTGGCAGATATCAGTGGGCTTCTGCGCTCAGTAACCCTCCTTGCACACTTGACCAGTGACACTATTGTTCAAGGTAGCACCACCTGCCTTAGAGCCCCACCGGAGCCTGCTGATGGTGAGTAACGGGGTGGGGGTGGGGGGACCCTTCAGGAAAGCAGAGGGAGCGGAGGGCCTTTAAAAATCTCTCTTGCCTTGCAACCCCAGCACTGACCGAGGCCTGTAAGCAGTTTGGCAAGGAAGCCCTCATGTATCTGACTTTGCTGGAGGAGGAAGGAACTCTTGAGAATGTCAACAGCACAGCCATGAGGAGCTGCCTCAGCAAGATCACAGCCATTAGCGAGGTATTATCAGTGTTATCATTGAGGAAAGTTATTACTGTTCTTGGTTGCGAGTGCTAGTGGTTGCCAGGGAATCAATGATGTTCTAAGCCAGTTCTTTCTGCACTCTAAACTTGATTCTAGAAAGTGGGAGAACTGAAAAATCTGACCCCCACTCCCCTGAACAACTTTCCAGTTACATTTAATTCATTGGCTATTGGCTATTGAGAATCTACTGTGTGGTTGTCATTCTGCTAGGCAATATCAAAGAATAGACACAGTTTCCCTGTTTTCAAGGATTTTTATGTGGTTGGGCAGGTAACACCTAAAATGGAGAATAATATATTTATTCGTTCAATAAAGATATAGTGAATATGTCCTATATACCAGAAATTGTGCTAGGTGTAGTTATATAGGGACAGATAAGAAATGGTCTCTAAAGGAAAGAAAAATAAAGCAACCATTTCTATACAGTGTGATGAGCACTGTAATAGAGATCTATTTTAAGAATACAGTACAAGGCAGCATTTAATTAATTCCTAAAATGTGTAGTAATAGGTTCAGGGAAGAAGGAGATACGGGCCAGAGGTCAGATCCTCAACATCTCTCATTTGAACTCTTAGAACAACCTTCTCATTAATTTCTCTACCTCTGGCCTCTTTTTCCTCTGTTTTCTTCCGAAAACAGATCTGATTATGATCCCTCTTGTTTGATAACAAAAATCCTATTATGTAACGTGACTTGCAAAGACCTTCACAATCTGCTCTTATTCACTTTTCTAGGCCTCTCTCACCCACTCGCTTTACCATATAGTTGGTGGCCAGCACTGTAATGTGCCTGCTTACTTGTCCATTTCCCGCACAATGAGTCTTCAAAGGTAGAGCTTATACCTTCTTCATTGTATCCTTGGTCCCGGGTGTAATATCTGGCAAGTGATTAACACCCAGCAAATGTTTAATTAATTGAATATGCACACTGAGAAAGCAAAACAGATAAAAAGATGGATTGGATGGGGGAGGAAGGCTCATACTGGGGAGAGATGGGCAATGAGGTGGAGAACCTTGAATGTGGATAAAGGAAGATTATGGATAGTGGTGAATTGTCAACCTCTCATTCAATGGATCATAATCACGGTGATGTTTTGGTATTAAATTGGTTCTGGTAGCCTAGGCAGCATTACTACAGTCTGCCTTCTATTGGAGATGGAGCATCTTCCCCAGCATAGTTCAGAATTGAGAACTCAGTATGTACATGCAAAGCATGTAGGACACCATGAAGAGATAAAAAATTAAAGCAAAGCAACATGTTATAGAAAGATCATGGGCAGGTTTTCTTCCTGGCAATAGGGCTGACCAAATGTTTAGAGATTCCTTCCAGAACAAGACATGGAAAATGCTGAATAAAATCTGAAAAAAAAAGAATTTTTAATTGAATCTGAACTAAGGAGATTCTCAGAATCAGAAACCGAAAGAAGACCAGAGTGAGTGTTTGTCTATTTCTGGTGGTCTAGAGCTTGGATTTTAATAGGCCACACATACAGAGGAGAATAAGAAACAAAACCCAGGTCCAAGTAAGATAAAAGATTGGAAAAAGGAAGTCCAAAGGGTCACACCTGAGTCAATGGGGAAAAGGCCTGCCCTTCAAGGGAGATCTTATATCAGCCTTGAAAAGTTGAGACAGGAAACACAGCTGCCTTAAGAATTTCTAACCACAAGCCACCTATCCATGAGTTAGGTTTTAAATCTCATACTACCTGTGTGGCCTAAAAAGCCCCAAACAGAAAATTAAGCTTAAAGCATTCAGGTGGTTAGAGGCCTAGGTACCTGGCAGAAGCAGATCCCAATTTTCTCTGAAGGAATATACTTTGAATCTTAACCTCAAAGAAGTTTTATAGATAAAGTCCCAAGGAATATAAGTTCACAATAAACATGTTTGACATGTTTAAGAACTTTTAAAAGGTATTAAAAGTGTGACAAAGGAACAAGATATTTTCAAAAGTAACCAGATATATTTGAAAAAGAACCACAGAACTTCTAGAAGTGAAAAATATAATCATTGAAAGTAATAACTTTATCTCGGAAGCCAAGCAAGGTCGGGCCTGTTTAGTACTTGGATGGGAGACCACCTAGGAAGACCAGATGCTGTAGATGTAAAAAATAAAAAATAAGGGATTGTAAGATGACAAGGTCCTTGCAATCTGTGAGATCAACCAAGGGTTGCGTCACCTAAAAAAAAAAAGAAAAGGAAGTAATAACATTAAAACATACAGATTCAACTGCAGGTTAAAACAAAGCAGAACCAAGAATTAGTGAATTAGATGATAAAATTAAAGGAATTACCCACAGTATGGCACAGATTTTGTAAGTTGCAATATAGATGTTACATATCAAATGTTTAATCAGAGTTCCAGAGTAAGATAATAGAAGGACTGTGTTCTCCGCTCACACCCCCATGTAAAATATTGTTAGTTCTATGTGTTAAAGACTTTTCTGTGACTCACTTTTTCCATCATTGAGCGTGAGGTTTATTCATGTGGATATATTTACTTTCACTGCTCTATTGTGTAAATATTGCTTAATTTATATATGTATTCTCTTGTTGATGGACATTTGGGTCATTCCAGTTTGGGGCTATTATAAATGTGCCACTGCAATCATCTCCTGATGTATATGTGCAATAATTTCTCTAATGTATATACCTAGGATTTGAATTACTAGATTATAGGATTAATCTCACACACAGAATGCAAAGTGAAAAAGCAAGTCATCAAAAAATATATACAGTATGATTCTTTTCAATAAAGACCAAAACATGCAAATATAACATAGTATTGTTTAAGGATGCATTCATAAGGAATTTAAAAAAAAAAAAAGAAAGAAAGAAAGACACTGTAAGCATTCTCCTGAATCCTGTAAAGACACTGTAAGCATTCTCCTGAATCCTATAAAGACATTGTAAGCATTCTCCGGAATTTTGTGTTTATCTTGGTGTGGGAAGTAAGAAGGATGGGAGATGGAATCAGGGAAGGATACAAAAGAGATTGCAAAGATTTCAAATGTACTGCTAAGGTTTAAGCTACTAAGTTGGGTGGTAAATAACATGGGTCATTGTTTTTATTCTTTAAACCATTCGTATCTATTTTATATGCTTGTATGTACAACATGTAACATTTTTAAAAATCATGGGCTGTCAGACCTGAGTCCAATCCTTGCTCCACCATTTCTTAGCAGTGTAACTGTGGCCAAGACATTTGACTTCTCTGAGCCCTGGCTTCCCATCTGTACAGCAGGAGTAGTAACTGTCTCATGTGATTGCTGTGGGATGGGAGCAAAGTTAAATAAAGGGAAGACTGCTTGGTTTGAAACCATTATCTACATTTGAAGAGGTTTTTAAAAGATATCCCGAGCACAGATACAGTCAACACTGCAGCTGTAGGGTTAGGGTTCAAGCAGCTGCAACTAAATGGCCTTGTGGGCTCAAGCAGAGATGGCCTTCTTGGAAGGAGGTGGGTTCTGAGTGAGGGTAGAGTGGGTGGAGCATGAGGTTCCAGAGTTCACATCGCAGAGAGTTCCAGACAAGGCCTATGAGGGACATCCCTCCATGGCTTGCAGAACTGTGTTACATGGCGGGGCCCTCCTACCTTCTGCCATTGTGTGAGGGTTACAGATCTGCCACAGGAGTATGGAGAGGAGGTCAAAGGGTCATTTCAGCCTTTGTGATGCTGTTCACAGGAGCTCCTGCCCAGAGGCCTAGACATCAAACAGGAGGAGTTAGGGGATCTGGTGGACAAGGAGATGGCTGCCACTTCAGCTGCCATTGAAACAGCTACGGCCAGAATAGAGGTATGGAAGTGTCTGAAGATCTAAAGTGATGCTCTATCAGCTACCCTTTGGCAACATTTCCTATTAGATGTGTCTTAGTTGTTCATTAAGGCGTCAGAGGCCCCTTATAAAAATAAACCAAAATCCACACTCACCAGAGTCTCTGGGGGATAGAAAATGAGAAAGTACTCACCAAGAAGAGGTGAGCAGTTTCCTCAAGGATCACATACTTTGGTGTCAGGCTATCCGGCATTCTAGTTCCAGATTGATTGACCACTTACTAATTGTACGACTTCTGATAAGTTACATTAACCTCACTAACATTCAGATTCTATTTCTATTTAATGGTGATAATAAAAGTACCTACCTCAGAGGGATGTTGACAAAACTTAAATGAAATAATACACATGTCTCTTAGTGCCAGGCACTCAGTAAATCAATGATAACTCTTGTCTCAGGGGAAAGCTGGGAGGGCACCATTGGAAAGGTAACATATTGCTCCTTTGGTGGAAGACTCAGGCCTCCTTGGTGTGAGTACCATCCTCTAGAACCTGGTAGGAGCTTCTCCTATTGGCATGGTGCCATACCTCTCAAGAGTTCCGTGCACATCAGCCTGGGTGCCAGAATATCAAGATACTCATGGACAGTAGTGCCAGCCTGCTGTAGCTGCCTCCCACTGAATAGATCAGAAGACTGGATTCTTTTCCCAATTTTCACAAGGACATGGATGGGCTCTTCTATTGGACCCAAAGTATAGTAGGGCACCAGTAGTTCATGGCATTTTTAGAAACCCTGCTTCTTTTTAACAGGAGATGCTCAGCAAATCCCGAGCAGGAGACACGGGAGTCAAACTGGAAGTGAATGAAAGGTCAGTCTGAGCAGCCTGGTACCACCGAGGCAATCAGGATCAGTCTTTCCTGCATTACATTATACTAATTAGAATAGAACATTATAGCCATAAGGAAAGGTTGAGTCTATGTAATTATCAATAACAGTATTAATGATGATAATAGTATTGCTGTTGTATTATAGGGGAAACGAAACTCCCAAGAACCCTCACTTAGCCATTCCTTATGAATAAGATCCACAATCAAGTCTTCGCATTTACCTCTCTTTCCTTTGGGGCTTCACCCCCAGAGCATTCCCTGCCTTCTTTCCCATTTCGAGTTTGCCTGTGTTTAGGAATGAAAAAGAGAACCGTCTTCTTCAGTGGTGTTGGTCTCTTCTGGTCTGTGTCCATCACATTTTTTTAAATTTTATTTACGTATGTATGTATGTATTTATTTATTTATTTTTTTAGGATTCTTGGTTCATGTACCAGCCTAATGCAAGCTATTCAGGTCCTGATTGTGGCTTCAAAGGACCTTCAGAGAGAGATAGTAGAGAGTGGCCGGGTAAGTGTGGGCGAGGGCCCATGGAAAGGGAGAACAGACATCAGTTACAGATTCCTAGCTCACTGAGAGACTAAGCCTACCGATATGCTCAACCACATTCAGTGAAATCTATGTATGCTGCCATCTCACCCTGCGTGTCCATCTGAGGGTGCAGCTGCCACCCCTGTGGATGTCAGCAGATGCCATGGGAGAAAGATGGAATGCCGCCAGTTCCTCAGAGAGTGTCAAGCCAGAGCTTTTAGCTCCAGGCTTATTAACCCTGGGCAGACATTGTTGGAACCTGCTGTGGAAACCCAGTGTGCGTTGCAAGTCTGGGCCTTTGGAGGAAGAAGTGAGAGCTTTTGAAAACTGAGCCACTCGCAAGAGCAAACCTAGTGCTGACTTTTCACAGTGGGCTCTGCCATGTCTCTTTCCAAAAGCGGTCAACTCACAGTGATTCAGAGACAGACTCTGCCTCAGTCTTATGTTGACATATCACTTTGATTTTCTCACTCCTTTGCTAGTGTTATTGCCATCTTGTTTTTTCTCACATCCCTGATGCAGCTGCAGCTCAAGAGACAAAGGTCCAGGGAGGGTTTATGAGCCTGGAAACAATCATATAAAGAACAAAGCCATATCTGCTTTGGTGCTTTTTGTCAGTCTGAGAGGTGATGTTTTTTGGTTCCCAAAACAGAGGGACTGAGCACAGAGTTTCTGCAGATTCTCAGACTGTCAGACACTTCCAAAGCATAAATGCATTTTTTTTAAATGCAAGTAAAAATAATTTTTAAAAATTAACTGTGTACTCTTTTGGCAAATCACAAAGAACAGCTAGACTCCCCTGAAATCATGTTATTCATAAATACATATAAAATATATGTATATATACGATATAGAAATATAATAGTAATGCTATGAGTTTTAGAGTCAGAAAAGCCTAAATAAACTTTCATTTCTTTCCTGCATGACCTTGGGAAAGTGTTTTTGCCTCTCAGAATCTTAGTTTTCTTATCTGTAAAATGGGAGTAATAATGCTTGCCTCTCAAGAATTACTGTGAAAACTATGTATATAAAACTAATATATATAAAAGTACCTGGCAAATAATAGTCACTAAATAAAAGGTAGCTATTATTATTTCTCACTTCCTTAGGGCACAACATCCCCTAAAGAGTTTTATGCTAAGAATTCTCGATGGACAGAAGGACTCATCTCAGCCTCCAAAGCTGTGGGCTGGGGAGCCACGGTCATGGTGTAAGTATCTGTCGGTCCCAAGGCTCCTCACCCCTCCCCAATTCCGTTGATCACCCCAGAGAATAACGAAGGCAAAAAAAAAAAAAAAAATCTTCCCCCTGGAAATGCACGGTTGATAAGGAAGTCAATAAGACGAAAAATTTAAAAAGGAGCCCAAGTCTCTCGGGGCAGCTCAGGGGCGGGGCATGCAGGCTGTGCTCCCTGGCTGCCAGGGTGATGGGGGTGGTCTAGAGGTGGGATCATAAGGGGTTGCAGCTGTGACTGCAACAGTGCAACAGTGACATAATCCATCTTGCCCTTTCTTGACTGTCAGTGATGCAGCCGATCTGGTGGTACAAGGCAGAGGGAAGTTTGAAGAGCTAATGGTTTGTTCCCATGAAATTGCTGCTAGCACAGCCCAGCTTGTAGCTGCATCCAAGGTAGGACCCATGTTGGATTCCCTGTGACACTATAAGGCCTGGCTAGTTTAGAGATACTTAGTCGATAAAGCTGACCCCAAGAACAGATGATTTATCCAGGGTCCAGGTGAGTCAGGTTCCAAATTAAAATTGTGCCTCTCAGGGGTCCCATACCACCCTCCTCTCAGAGCCTTTCATCTGTCAGCAAGGAAGCCCTCTATTCAGCTTGCCATATGCACCCCTCTTGGCTCTCCTCACTTTTGTTACAAGTGGCCTTTGAGGGCCAAGCTGTGCCGACCTCTGATTAGCAATCACGGCATTCCAGAACTCAAATGAGGATACAGCCAGTGTCTGCCTTTCTTCAAGAGTCTGCAAATTTGAACCATTGACCTTATGATACCCCGAGGAGTGTTCTCTTATCATCCTTATTTATTGTTGTCCCAAATTGGTTTTTATAACTGGAGCACTTCATCAAAATAACTGATAAAGCTAGAGTTTGACCACCAAGCAAATAAGCCAGGAATAATTTTTTATATCACAGATATGCTAGGAGTTGACCGCACAGGCAACGATTTTTGAGAAGTTCATTGGTGACTACAGGAGATCACATATATTTGTCAAGAACTACCAGACCAACTCTTTGACTCAGTCTTTGACCCCTCTCTATGTTGTATGAACCTAAATCTGCTTGGTCTTGGCAGGTGAAAGCTAATAAGGACAGCCCGAACCTGGCCCAGCTGCAGCAGGCCTCTCGCGGGGTGAACCAGGCCACTGCCGCTGTTGTGGCCTCAACCATTTCTGGAAAATCACAGATTGAGGAGACAGGTAGCCTTTCAGAAGCAATATTTTTCTTATCCAACCTATTTAGCTGTTCTTTACATTCTTCTCTGTGATCCCAATTTCCCACTGTTCTGTCTCCAAATTCTTTCTTATTTTTCATCTTTTTATGTTCATACTCATTCTTTCATAAAAAGGGACACCACATAAACGTGCTATTTATATATCACTATAGTGACATACCTTTAGGCATATATTTCATTTAGCTATTTCTCTGAATCCAAAGAAATGCCTCTGCAGGCCCAGTTGTCCATGGGGTGGAGGGGTGGAAGTTCTGATCCTGGTTACCTTGTCACTGAATCTTCCTTCGTCTCCACCCCTCATTTATGTGTATGCATGTGTTGATAAATAGCAAACCAAGCATTTCAGCAGAGCGGTGGCATCAGCCACCTCTCACATGAGAGTCTTCTAGGGATATTATCTGACAAGACTTCTTTTCTCTCTTTGCAGACACCATGGACTTCTCAAGCATGACGCTGACCCAGATCAAACGCCAGGAGATGGATTCCCAGGTAGGAACTCCATTTCTAAGTCTAGCCAGTCTCTAATGCTTATGACGTTAATCCCAAATATTATTCTCATGGCGAGAAGCCAGTGAAAGAGAGACTTGGGGGGAAATGAACTCAGATATACCTTTTGGGCCAAGAATGAATGCAAATGATGCTGGAAGAAATAGTGGAGGTAGAGAGAGGTGAGTAGTAAAGCTCAGAATCTTAACTCTTGCCCACTAGTCTTGGATTGGTGTCCCTCTAAATGTTATGAAAGATCCCCTAGCCAACAATAAACTTGTTTTTAATGATCTTACTATAGATAATTTTTCAAACTTCTGATATGAATTATTTGTGTTTAACCTTTATTTTTTAAAAAATCAATTCACTGTTAACCTATCAAAGGCAATGCCATTTCTCTCAGTTGTTCAATAAAAGAATGCCATGCAAAATAGAAATCAGTGGGGTCCTGAAAAAACCTGGCATTCTTCTTCTAGAATTACTGGTCATCAGTATTAGGGTAAAATCAGATTGAGTCTCTGGATGGGTCACTCAGTATCTTTAGGAAAAATCATATGGCCAGAATTCTGTGTAAACACTAAAAGAATTAAGCTCGGGCTTGAGTCTCCTTTATATACACTCTCTTGCTTAGTGGTCTCATCTAGTCCCTTGTTGACTTTAAATACCATCTATATGCTGATAAATACCAAACTCTTCTCTCTGGCCTAGATCTTCTCCTTGAGCTCTATACTTGTCCAGCTGCCTACTTGATATCTCCATTTGATGTTCAATAGGGATCTCAAACTTAATATGTCTAAAACAGGTCTTTTGATTTCCCTTTTACTCAAATTTATCCTTCCCCTGGTTTTCTGCATTTCCGTAAATGGCACCACCACCACCCACCTGAGTGCTGAGCCCCAAACCTAGAGTCATCATTGGTTCCTTTTTTTCCCTCACCCTCTATATCCAATCCATGAACAAGTCTTATCAACTCGAAATCTCCAAGTCACAGCCTTAATTAATCTTCTCACTTTTTTCCATTTCCCTAACCTAATCTAAGCAACCATTGTTTCTCCTGAGCTACTACTGCAAAAGGAACTTAAGTATAATGTATGTGTGTGTTCAAAAATAATCCCATGGTGGGTCTGGGATGGTGGTGGTGGTAGGCAGAACAGGCAAGAGTATTGCTGAGACAAGTCTGACCATGAGTTGATAGATGGTGAAACTAGATGAAAGGCACAAGATGGGGTTCACTGTATCAGTCTCCTTCCTTCTGTATATGTTTTACATTTTACATAATAAGTTTAAAAAACAAAAAAAGGAATCACCTAACTAGGTATTATCTCTGCTCTTGCCCTCTACAATTTGTTCATTCTCTACATATTTTTAAAACAACATGTCACTTCCTTGCTTAAAATCTTCCAGTGGCTACTCTTTGTACTTCGAGTAATAGCCAAACTCCAAACTCCGGCCTATAGGCAGGCCGTAGGTGAAACAATTCTTACCTGTTTCTCCAACTTCATCTCATGACCTTCTCCCAATCTCACTTGTTAGTCACACAGGATTCTCTCTGTTCTCCCAGCACTCAAGCTCATTCCTGCCTCAGAGTTTATTTCCTCTGCCTGGAATATTGTTCCCCAGCTCTCTGAATAGCTGATCTCTTACAGCCATTTAGGTTTCAGTTCCAAAGTTACTTCCTGGGAGTAGCCTTTTCTGACTACACATAGTCTTTATTCCACCCCTTTGTGTCATTTCATGATCTGATCTTTTCTTGTTCATCAGTTTGTCTCTTCCCCCTACAAAGACCTTGTCTGTCTGTGTACCACATATCTCCAGCACCAACAACAGAGCCTAGGGTACATGATGGGTGCTCAGCAAATACTTTTGAATTAATAAAATTAATGAGGAGTACAGATAGCCAAGAACCAGTCTTTCCTTTAGTGAGATTGTGCCTGTAGGATAATAACCCTAAGTTGCACCAATGCCTCGGAGATGCCGGAACCGATGTATTTGGTTCCTTCCTGGACTTCCAAGGAAAAGGGTTTGAAAGGTTACAGCTGGATTGGAACACACCACACAGATACACCAAACATTAGCTAGTGATTTACCAGAAGAACATAAGATAAGCCCTACTCTCATTCAGGCATTTGGGCTCTAAAGCATCATTCATTTCCAGTAGAGGGTCCCGGTGAGAAAATATAGATGGGATAGGTGGATGAATGAAAGGATGGAGAAATTAGAGCAGAGATGAGGTTGTAATTGAGAACTGGCTAAGCTATGGAAACAGGATGAATAATATGGAAGATGAGAACTGGAACACGGAGAAGAGGGATTAAGTCAAAATAAGACAGTTGTCGGATCACTACTCAAAAGAGAATTCCACTTTCCCCACAGGTTAGGGTGCTGGAGCTAGAAAATGAACTGCAGAAAGAACGTCAAAAACTAGGAGAGCTTCGAAAAAAGCACTATGAGCTTGCTGGTGTTGCTGAGGGTTGGGAAGAAGGTAAGCCTCTCTGAGGACCCACAGTGAAGGGACTGCTGGGCAATGAGGGCCTTCCCCTGGAATATAACAGGAGGAGGAACCCATCCATCAGTGACTTCTTCCTTCTCCTCTCTACTCACAGAGCATATTTTTAGTTCTAAATAATCTATAACCCAAAACTGGAAAAATTGTGGTGATTGAAAGATTTTTATATCACCTTTCAAGATCTTTACATTGACCAGTGGACTGGTCACTCATTAGCCATTCCCTTCCAGCCCAGTTAGCCTGGTTTACCCGCCAGGAGTTTAGTCTCTGGCCAGCCTAGAGTTGAATAGTGAATGGATGAATAGCAGTCAGTTGAGATCCAGCAAACGGGCAAGTGAATTACAAGGTTCTGACTGTCCAGAGCGAGCTATGGGCAGCAATGGCCAAAAGATAGGAAGGGTCAGGAGCTAGAAATGGTGTGGAGTAATGTTCTGCCCATCAGCCCAGAGACTCTTCATTACTCAGACTCTGTGAGTGCTGCTTTTTCACACGTCCAACGTGGCCAACTTGATCACAACCAAGATTGCTGGTTCTCGTTGGACTTGGCTAGCTCTGGAAGCCAATGACAGATGTATTCCAGTCAGTCCCAGACACTTAAGGACAAGGTGGTTATGATTATAATATACATTAGACCTCAACGTGGTCTGAATGTGTACATGCATGAAGGGCTATAAAGCATAAATGGTTATTGTTTTTTAGGAACAGAAACATCTTCACCTGCACTGCAAGAAGCGGTAACCGAAAAAGAATAGAGGCCCACCGGCCCCCCACACATCAGAGTGTAAATCTTTGCTGCCTGTCTGTGTGTGTGTTATTCCTCAGCCAGAAACTAAACCCTTGGAGTCGCAGTGGCAGCCACACCACTCCCACTGTCCAGGGCTGAGGACCTGCATGGCCTTCCAAAGACTCCCTCCACGGTGACACCCTTTGTGTTGGAACCTGTGATGTCCAGAGAGGATGGGGAACAGGGCCACCCCACAGAGAGGACTTTCCTCTCAGTGTCCTTGTCCAAGGGGTTACAGTTGCTGTGGCTGAGAGCCTGGAGAGGGAAGATCTTATGCATTTTCTTTTCTGTTTTCTTCTCAGTCTTTTCAGTTTCATCATTTGCACAAACTTGTGAGCATCAGAGGGCTGGTGGATTCCAAACAAGGACATTACCCTGAGTCTGTGCGCAGAGTCAGAAGAACCGCGAGAGCGTCCGGGCTAACAGTGCCAGGGCAATGCTCTCCCTCTTTTGGCAGTTCCATGGATTCCCACTGCTTCTTATGGTGGTTGGTTGGGTTTTTTGGTTTTCTTTTTTCAAGTTTCACTCACATAGCCAACTGTCCCAAAGGGAACACCTCTGAAGCTCCAAGCTCTCAGGGGCCCCAGACCACAGCAGTTAACAGCAATGGTGCTGCTCAGGCTTCACCTTGGTGCTCCCGGTCAGCCTCCATGCCAAGTGTCCTGCTGAGCCAGTGCAGGGCAGCCAAGGCCACTCCCCAGGGTTGGGCGGAGCTGCTGAGCCACAGCTTTCCTCCAAAGGCAGAAGTGGAGCGAGTGCCTTTCCTTCCTAAAAGCTGGAGCCCAGCTGAAAGCTTCTGCCCACCTTCACAAGCAAGAGGGCCACAGAAAGAGGGAAAGGAGGGTGGACACAGCCCATGTTTTCAGAAGACATCTTTCTTGGGAACTCCTTGTGACCAGGCTGAAAAAAACCTTATCACATGCTTGAGTGGAGCTGGTGAGAGTAGCCACACCTCTTCCCCAAGGCAGGGCCCTAAGAAGGGAGCGTGTGAGGGATTTCCAGTTCCTTTCTCCAAATGTCTGCCTGCCTTGGTGTCCACTTGAATCTGAAGAAGATAGTTCCATGTTCTACCTAATAGACAGACCCAGAAAAATCAGGCAAACTTCCTCCCAGTAGGAAAGGACCCTGTACTTGGTTTGGTACCCTTAATATTTATTACTAACCTCCATTAAGCAGCAGCAGCAGCAGCAGCAGCAGCAGCAGCAGCCTACAAAAAGATGCTTGGAGCAATTAGGATTTCAGGTATGACTATAAGACTTGAATTGCTGCCCTATACAGCAGTCTTCAAGAATCAGAAACAAGGCTAAGATGCCGTCCCGATCTGTTACTGGCTTAAATCATGAAGCATGCAGGGTTCCTCAGAGTGTCCAGGTCAAGGAAAACAAAAAAGGGGACCGATGGCTCTGATCCCTTTCAGCCACACATCCCGGGCTCTTGTTGCCCTGTGGACAGGATGAGGATGGAGGGCACATTAACAGCCTCATAGATACAGGCAGCCTGACAGTACTTCTCCACTTCCAGATGGACCTCCCAGCATTTAAGTGACCTTTCAATATTGAACAAACAATGTCTTCCTTATCTGTAGCAACTCTTAGATAGTGGCCAACAAGTAGTTCCCAGGACCTGTCCCACAGGAATGTTGCTAAATGTGGCCATAACAGGTTGTGAGACTCCTGTTTGATCACTGTGAATCAATCCCCCCTTCTCCCTAAACACCACCCCCACTCCCCCAACTCTGTCTCCGTGCATTTTCTAAGTAGGGCATTCAAAAAAAATTCCCATTAGCTCGGATTGTGAGACTCAGACACATGATCTCCACACTGGGCTAAAAAGGGCTCAGCAATAGATACTGAGTACGCTCATGTTTAATGCTTCTTTGTGCTCAGCATTTTTCCATCTGAGGTTCAGAAGGAGTGGTGTGCGGCATCCTCGGCCCACTTGTGCCAATTCATCCGATCAGTGTGTTCTCAGTGTGGGTCAACATTTCCATAGGTAGCTAGTCCTTGCTTCTAGAATCTCGGCCATTCAAACAGTTGTGTTTAACCAGCGGTTTTTTTTTAGTATATTGGACCAGATTAGGACTCTTTGAATAACACTCCCTCTAAAAAGCAGCCACAGTAATCTTTAAAACCTTCATGGGCTTAGCCAGTAATAAAACAGTTAAGAAAGCACTTAAACAGGAGCACAAGCTCAGTCAGTCTCACGATGCAATGCCTGTCTGATAATTATTTTTGTCGTCACTCAGAAGCTAGTTCGTTCTCTAGCCAAAGTCAAATTGTTCCTACCTTGGCTCTTCTAAAAATGAGCTTGTGATACTTGGTGTGAAATAACTTGATTAAAACAGAAATCACATCCTAAGGCCAAAAATGAACCTCACAGCCTTTTAAATTAGTCACTGAGCATCGTTAATGACTGGAGTCTCATGGGTCAGTGTAAATGGGTCATGGCAATAGAGGACAGCAACAAAACAATAGTTTAGGATCAATGAGAGGCTAAAATACAGTTGCATCCGTTATTTAATTTTGCGATACGGTGCTCTAATACCTTTAGAATAAGGATATGTGTGTACATGATAAGGAAAAAAATAGAAAAGACCTACATTTGTGGGGTTATTTGATATTTGGGCAAGGAGTTTAAGTTAGACTGTAACTGAGATTGATCCCTAGGATCCCACCTAAATATGAGTCCCCAGCCCTGTGGCTGAAAGAATCAAACATTGTCCAGAGCATCCTTTCTCAAAAGTGTTTGAGCTGCGGAGTCAGACACAGGTGCCATGGGGGTCACAAGTACATGTCATTTGGTCAGGTTGGCATGCTTTGGCCTCTCACCAAGGAGGAGCTGGTTCTGAGCTTGCACTCGGGAAGTGCTCACTTCTTGTCAGCTCCTTAGTCTAGAGAGGTCCGCTGGCTCCACTTACCCTGGTCTTTAATAACTGGTAAAGTTCTTGCTACCTGCTACCACCTTTCCAAGTCTCTGGAAATCCCTCTTGCCAATGAAAGCCTTCAGTCTTGGCCCTGGCTTTCCAATCAGACCAGCTTCATCCTCTTTCTCTACCACCTTTGGTCCTCCAGAGAAAGCACTGCCTGTAGCATAGAAAACTACCACCATAGGCCTGCCGGCCATCAACACAGGAAACTGACCAGCTGGCTGCTGCTCAAGTCCTTTGTCTCCCAGGTCCAGACCAAATACAGGATCAGCAACCCACAGCGGTGGCCCAGCCTTTTACCCCAGGAGCCAAAGCAACGTGAAAATTGGTTAGATGCTGTTGGGTCCAATTCCGAGAGTAGTTAATCTCCAGACATGTCTTTCAGGTGACCCTCAACTACCTCAGGTTTGAAGGTCCTGAATTAAGCTGATGCTATTCATAGGGACAAACTGAGGGGTTTCAGATAAATCTTGGTGATAACACAATTGTCTCAAACTTATAACTCTTTCACACTTAGGTTTGCAGGGATGGGGTTGGGTTTTTCTTTTCTGTTTTTAGCCTTTCCCCCAATATTCCATTAGAATAGTTCCTATAAATGAATTTCATTTTTCACTGAGTGCCTACCTTCCCAGGGCAGGTAGGCACGGGCTTTTGTTCCCTCTCAATGATACTTTTATTATGGTATTAAGACCTTTCTTTGTATAATACATTGCATCTGTGTTTTCAATTTTTCAAATAAATATTTCAACCTGGCAATGGAGAGGAGTACTGACCAAAGTAGTTTTTTAGTCTGGGGTTCTAGTGAAACACCTACGTTTATATTCTAGGGTTCATTGAATCCGCTAAAGCTCTGCACCTCTGGGAATATGTCTTCAAAACAGGACATTTTCTGAAGAAACTGCCGTTGCATTTCCTTTGCAGCGATAGTCAAACTCTAGCTTGCATACCTAAAACATGTTCCATTCTCTGTATACTCTCCTGTCCCTGGGAATGATCAAACAGAAAGTGCCAAACTGGTTAATACTGTTATTTATCTAGAAGGCCAAGTCTTTGAATAAAATCTGGGGTCTTAGGCTATGAATATACGCCCTTTTTCACCTTTAAGATTCGAAGTAAGCTGTTGCCTTAACATTGGATGGGACTAATTCTGCTCAGGGAAAGAAGCTGCCAGTCATAAGAGGATTCAGAGCCAGCCACAGCTACCAGAGAATTTGTAGAGGGAGCTGACCAAATGGAGCTGATTGCACAGCAAATTTTCTCTAAGAGGACTGTCTGCACACTGCTACCAGTGTGTTAAGGAAACTTACAGGGAGGGAGAAAGATGGAGAAAGCCTGGATTGGTAAGCAGGATAATTGCCAAAATGACACATCAAATAAGGAGAGAATGAAGCAAGTAATCAGAAGCTATAGAGTCTATAAGGAGGTCAAAGAACCTAGAAAACAAGGAAAATAGTGTTCAAACCATATAGTGGGGAAGATGATCTAGATAAATATAGAAGATGAAGAACATTTGCCTATGGTTGGGCTTTTCTCCCTATAGTAGATACATAGGTGAGCCTTCTCCTTTTGAAGCACTGCTGATAGAGTGGACACTTCTTAGTCACAGCTCTTGCAGATCACTCTTGGAGTTCAAGTTGGAAGCTAAGAGTCCAGAAAGCCAGGCAGAGAGGAATGCCTTGAGCACACAGAGACCCCATTATTTGAAGTGCCTGGGGTGTGGGTCTGGCCTGGGTCAGCAGTGCCATCCAGGCAGAGCCTTTCTCCCCTTCCAGATGCCCTCCAGCCCTCGATGCCCTCCTACATCTGCACATGGCCCTGACCAGATGCCTCAGAGGCTCTGGAACTCAAGCCTGAGGGGTCTTCCCAGCCCCTAGTTCTAGGAAGGCAGCCTGGCTAGCTAGTCACTCTGGCCAGCTGAGTATTACAAGGAATCCTGAAATCAGGCCAGCAGAATGATACTAACATGCCATTTAAAAAAGGGTTGGGGAGGGATAGTTAGGGTTTATACAGATCGGGGCCCAAGTTGGGGCCTAGGGGTGGCCCTGCCAACATAAAAAGGAAAAACGCATTGAAATGGGCAAGCTGAAGTATGCTATGTACCATTGTGATTTAAAACCAGTAAGTTTTAATCCTGCTCAACCTGGTTGTCCTCAGTCTCTTAACACCTTATCCAACATACAGTGAGTAGGCCTTTAAACATTTTGGAGTGAATGGATGAATTCTTTTTACACTGTGTTCTTAGTTACATACACATTTTATGCATGCATTCACCGTTCAGGCACTGAAATTTTCAAAGATGAAGGCTTTCTATTCCCTGTCTTCAAAGGTTATACCCACGTATTCACTATTTGTTATTGTCTATCGGGCACTGAGAATGCAGTGGAGAGCAAAAATCCAAGTGGTTCCACACTTCTAGAGCTTACAGGGAACAAATAGGATAATCAAATAATCACAAAACAAGTGTAAAACTACAACTGGAGTAAGTGCAAGAAAAGAACACAGAGCTCTGAGAAGAAATGAGAACAAGAAAAACCCTTGATGAAGTGATAGCCGAACTAAGATACAGTATGAAGAGGTGCTAACTAGGCAGCAAGGGAGGGAAAGCTCACTCATTCCCAGGAGAAGAAACTGCACGTAAAAAGGCTTTCAGTTCCCACTAAAGGGAACTAACTGAAAGACCAGTATCGTCGGAGCCCAGGCAGAGTGGTACAAGACGAGGCTGGACAGAGGCGGGAGCAGATCATGCAGACATGGAAAGCGGTTACTGAGCTTTAGGCACAGGGGTTTCAAAATCTTATTTGCATTTTGAAAAGACCATTCTAGCTGCAGTGTGGAGAACAGATGATGGTGGAGCAGAGGTCAATGGGAAATCCAGTGAGGCTACGTTTCATTTTGTTCCATAAAGAATAGTGAACCACTGATGGGTCTTAGGTAGGAGGACAGATCACCTTATCCTCACTTCCTGTGCTTTACTAGTCAGACTGGCCAACTGAAAATGCTTTCTGTAGGCTGACACGTTTTTGTCACTCCAAAAGATCTTCTACACTGCCCCTCTCAGTTCCCCCTTTAACTTGGCCTTTCGCTTCACAATTCAGTATGCCTGCATCAGGCCATCTCATGGGGCACACAGTTTCTGTAACCCTTCCTCCTCATTCCATGTGCACCACGGTCCCTTTCTGAGCTCAAACTGAGCCTAAATGTGACTGATAGCACAGCAGTACTGTTTCTAGAGAAAGTGTAAGTTTCTAAGTTAAATACCAAAGTCCTGAATACTGAATATCTTAAGCCGAAGGAATTTGAGAAACAACTTGTACTGGAAGGACTTTCTGACCTTCCCCTGAAGCAGGTCATAAAATCCTCATGTGAGAAGTACCCTCCCTGTCCTGGAGATTAGGAAACATCTTTGTTTCCTAATCACAGGGAGGAATCTGAACAAATGAGACTTCCTTGATTTCCCCCAGTTTACTACACTCAGTTCACTCCCTTTTTCGTCCCATCATTTTTTTCCATGACTCTCCACTCTTCAAAAACCTCTGCTGAAATCTCCATGTCTCCTCTAATTAAATGCAATATACAGATGACATATTATAAAATTATATAATTTTATTCACCAATGTCACCCCAATAAATTTAATAAAATTTTTAAAAATAAAACAATTATAATCACTTTAAAATGTTTTGTTTCCACAGAACCAATATTCAAAATCAATTTTGAAAACTAAATTTTATTCAATTTCTAAATTGTTTAAAATGACTAATCACGAATCACGCCAACTCAGCAAACACTGTTGAGTTCTTATTGTACATAAGAGACTAGGAAAAAAAAATAAGCAAGATATGGTCCCATCTTTAAGGATCTTCCAAACTTGAAAGGAAGACAGACACGTACATTAGAATCTGAAGTATACACACAAAAAGGATGAAACACTATTTCAAGAAATCTAGCAATATTCAAAGGAAAAAGAAATGAGGCAATAACTTTAGAAAGCAATGGCATCAAGGGAAGAGTTTTTAAGGAGAAAGACATAAGCATGCTCAAGGCTAAAAAGAAATCAAAGGAGGTAAGGATTGAAGTATGAAAGAAATGGGAGGAATGGTGAAGCAAATTCCTTGAGCTG